ATATACGTGGTGAGCAGAGCACAGATAGCCCATTGTGTAGCTTTGTACAAGGAAACATAGGAACCCTGGGAGTGATATAAGGAGTCAAATCCAAACGCCGACTCCTTATGTTTCCTCTCGGGGGACCCTAAGCGTACATTCCACGATTGGTTTGATACCAATTGGTCCATGAGTTCACCAATTCTAAGCGGACATTCACACACAGCACTCTTTTGTCAATTTGTGGTTTAAATAATGGTAATTCCTCCGTTGTTCTTGTTTTCATAAATTGTTTTTTTGTAGTTTTTGCTTAATCAATTAGAAAGAGGAAACATAAAGAAACGGTAAAATATAAAGCAATAGAGTCAATACTGCTACCTGAATTTCACAGCCTCTTTTGGAAAAAAAATTAACAACGCGGCGGTTATATGGGATTATTTATGAATAGTCAGTGAATAGTGAATGATCATGTTATGCCTTCCATAAAATCAGTCCGAAGACTTAAAGCTAAAATCGGAATTAAATGTATTTTGAATTATGTCCTTTTTATTTTAAGTATGTGCAGTTAAATGTTAAATATTTACTAAACTTTCCTTAAGTGAAAAACTGGAGGATTCCGCAACCTTGTGATGATAATAAATTAGTTATAGATTCAATTAATTGTGTTTATTGTTGGTATCATAGTTGATTGTATGTATTTATATATAGTATTACATGGAATATCACTTACACTTTTGAAAACGATGAGTAAGTTCGATATACTAGTAGTGAACATCGTACTGTCCTGTCGATACTACTGTATTTACTTCCCTGTTTTAAACAATTATCCTGCGGTAATGTTTCTATGAGTTAAGATTTCATCATAAGCAGCCAAGCACACACGTACACTAAAGGCACAATAAAGTACTAAAGCAGCATCGGAAAATGGTAGATTGTGTGTTCGAATAGAGTTCCAATTCCAGTTTCTTTTATCATCTTTCTCGTGAAAACAGCCGTTGATTTTGAGATGTAATGGAATTTTGTGAACTCTTTGGATTGTGGGCTATCATAAAAGTCATATTATTTTTATTACCTTATTAATAGTACTAATGGGTTTTGGGGTCAGAAGATTCTCTTTGTAGTCATGTCGGTATTTTATGAATAATTACGTCAGTCCTGAACGACTTCAGATATGATTCCAGAGTTGTTGTTTGTCTTTCTTTTTTCTTGTTCTCTTAAATTTTTCTGCTCTGTGAACTTTTATATTTCTATATGGAAAATCGAAGATTCCCTTTTTCAAAATATCCTTTCGCTCTGCATCGTTTAATAATGTAATTATTTCTCTTCATAAAAAGGAGTCACATACCCTTCCAGCTATTTATCATATTTTGGGAAATATTTTACAAGCCCGATCAGCACGGTTTGTTTTTATATGCAGGTCAGATGCTTGTCTTTCACGTCGCTATAAATTTTGAACCATCCTGGCATCCTGTTACTGTTGGATATCTTAGTTGTTAATGTTAAGATCTTTGTT